AGCTGGAAGAAGAAATATTAACCAATATCAGCTCAGTCTGTTTTGAAGGTGATGCTGGACACACACACCCTTCAGTCACTGCCCTTTGCTAAATGAGCAAACTGACAATGTTGCAAAGCATCTGCAATTATATTTGAATCCACCACTTAGAGACTGTGACAAATCCATTATGTGAATTGAAAAGTGCAAAAGCTTAAAATAAAAATTACTTAATAGAATTGTAACAATCCATTTAAAACTGCACAGGGGAAATGCAGAGCTGTGAAAAGCACTGAACATCCACCATAAAATAAAATAAATCTTTATTTGCTAGAATGGACACTGGGCAGCTCCTTGGGTGGTACAAATTAGATGGATTTAGTTACATCTCACTGTTAAATTAGTGAGGTTCCAACCATATAGCTTTGTTTGATCTTTAAGCATTTCTGCTTCCTGCCAAGACTGAGATAATGAGCGATTTACAGCACAGCTTTTGCCATCCCTAGATGCACAGGAAACTTGAGCAGGATGTCCACTCCACATTTGAAGACAAGGCCCAGCAGGTTTTCAGTGGTTTTGGCTTGCAAATAGTTAATGTTCTCCCTCTACAGTGAATTTCCCACCATTTCTCCTAGCACAGAGAAAACCTGACACTACAGTATTATTCCAATAGCTTCGTTTTTTTGGTTTGTGGTTTTTTTTGTTTTGTTTTGGTTTTGTGGGGTTTTTTTTGTTTGTTTGTTTGTTTGTTTTGCCAGATATATCAATTTTGTGTCAAATTTGTGGCACGTTAGCAATTCTTCCCTGATTTTAAAGTATGGGGGTTTTTTTGCCTGAGAGATCAATTTTGTGTCAAATTTGTGGCATGTTATCAATTCTTCCCTGATTTTGAAGTATGCACTAGGTTTAGGATAATAATGCATTTCTGTAAGTCTGTAATGAAATTGTCACTCAGGAACAGCACACTGATGCTTTACTGTGCTCCTTAGAGATTGCTTTCTGTTGCTGTTTTGAAGGGATAAAAGCAAATCTAACATGCATCTCATGCAAGGGTCTAAAGCAGTTGCTGGTGTCACACGGGCTCAATCCTCTTCTGAGTTATGCACATCAGATTCCCCGGGATTTGATCACGTGTGCCAAATTCACACAAACCTTACCACAGCGCCATGGTTCAGGACAGGTTCTGGCCAGGTTCCACCAAGTGAGTGGTGTTTCTCTGAAATGAGGGGAATTTACTTGATATTCACAAGGGCATAGAGTGATAGGACAAAGGGAAACAACTGTAAACTGAAGGAGGGCAGTGTTAGACTGGAATAAATATTAGGAATAAATTCTGTACTAGAAGGGTGGTGAAGCCCTGGCACTGGTTGCCCAGAGAAGCTGTGGCTGCCCCATTCCTGGGAGTGTCCAAGGCCAGGTTGGATGAATCTTGGAGCAGCCTGGGCTAGTGGAAGGTATCCCTGGCCATTGCAGGGGGTGGAACTGGATGGACTTCAAGGTCCCCTAACCATTCTGTTTCTATGTTTAATTGAGGCTTATAAAATACAAAGCTCATCTCCGGTAGAGAATAACCAGGTATAGAATGAATATCCTGACATTTGTAAAAAGTAGATATTAGGAGAAGGACATCCATTTATTGAATTTGGAAGGCCATATCAGCTTAACTGGAATTGTGCTGATTAGCCCCAAACAATGCTGGAGGAGATAGTTTTTGTGAGTGTTCACAGCAACATTTTATCTTGCATTGAAGACACAAACGGTTGTTCTCAGAGTGTTTGTTTTTCCAAGCTACTGACAAACAGAATGTGTATTGATGCCACTTGGCCTGTCTTTATTTATTCTGTATTTATTCATTTCTATAAAAGAAGGAACAAAAAAGTTCCCTCCTCCTCGGATTAGTTTAGCATTTTCAAGCTCTGATGGGATATATGTACTTGTGTGCTGCTGTGTTTTTCTACACTGTGGCACTGGACTGCACTTAATGGTAATACAAGAAAATAGTTCCTGAGCTGTGGCCCCAAGCTGAATCCACCACGTCCCTAACACCTACTAGAAACAAGGAAAACACACTGGAGTTTGCAGCAGGTAAGCAGATCACATGTTATCAGCCATGAGCCATCTTTTCATGAGCATGGCAGAGCTCTGTGCCACTAATAGCCCAGGGGAGTCACTGGAAGAGCCAAAATGGAGCTGGGTGTGGGCATACAGCATGTCCTTGGCAGAAAGGACTCTCCAGGTCCCTGCATGGAGTAGTCCCTTGTACAGAACCAGGCTGGTTTCTTCCACACCGGGGAACATCACTGCTCCCTGCTGAGAGAAACCACACTTTGTTCCCACATCTATCATAAATCACAGAATGGTTTGGGTTGGTAGTAACCTTAAAGCCCATTTTGTTCCACTCCCTGCCTTGAGTGCTGTGTCCAGTTCTGGGCCCCCCATTTTAGGAAGGACATGGAGGGGCTGAGCATGTCCAGTGAAGGGCAACAAGGCTGGTGAGGGGTCTGGAACACAAGTCCTGTGAGGAGCAGTTGAGAGAGCTGGAGAAGAGGAGGCTCAGGGCAGACCTCATCACTCTACAACTCCCTGACAGGAGGGTGCAGCCAGCGGGGGGCTGGGCTCTTCTTCCAGGCAATCAACATGAGGATAAGAGGACACAGCCTTAAGCTGCACCAGGGGAAGTTTAGGCTTAACACAAGGAAAAGATTCTTCACAGAAGGAATGGTTTGGCATTGGAAAGGGCTGTCCAGGAAGGGGGTGGAGTCACTGTCCCCGGAGATGTTTAAGAAAAGACTGGATGTGCCACTCGGTGCCATGGTATGGTTGACAAGGTGGTGTTAGGTTATAGATTGGACTAGGTGATCTCAAACGTTATTTCCAACCTAGTTAATCCTGTGATACTGTGAGTGAAACCTATATCTGGGAGAGGAGGAAGAGGAAAAGTCAGGGGTCAGAGTGAAGCCATCTCCCAGAGCCAGCAGCACACCACTGACCCAGTAACAGCAACAGATCTGACAACCCAACACATCACTTCATGTCAATTCTAAAGGTCACGTTTTTCTTTCAGCAAGCTAATTGCTGAGCTTTTAGCTATCACACCTGTGTGATCTGATTAAACAGAAGCTGAGGCTGAGAGCTACTATTCTCCTTTTCAAGAGTCACAGAACAAGCAACGGGGTCTGCCTAAGGCTCTGAGCAGTGTAGGCAAACCCAAGAGTCACTGCCTGGGTCTGAAGGGCTGATGCTCAGCTGAGCCAGCCAGGAGAGGAGACAGGGGATCAGCTTGCTGCTGCTGGAGGCTAGAAAGCTGCCATCACCAGGCTGGGATCTGGGAGCCTGTCCCTGTTTGGGTGGGCAGTGAGGGGCAGGTAGTCCTTGCCTGGCACCTGCAGCCATCCAGGCAGCTTTGCTGGGGACTGTCACTTCAGTAGTCTTGTGCCCTTGGCATGCCTGGGGTCAGCTCTAATAACTAGGATTTAAAGAAAGGAAATGTCTTAGGGCAATTTAGTGAAATCCAACAGTTAAATAATCCCTAAGAAAAAGCAGTGTGTGGCTGAGGCTGCATGGCTTCTCCTGATACTGAAGATAAAACCAGAGGCATTAAAAATTATGAAAGCACTCACCTGCAGCTAGGGAGGTGAGTGCTGTTCTGGGGTATCACACCACAGGGCTGCCTGTGGTGTTCCAGGACACGTGGAGCAAAACCAGTGCTGTTGGGTTATACATTCCCTTACAAAGCAAATCTGAATGCTGCCATGAGGTGAGTGGAATTCAGGTGCTGCTGCTTAATTTGCTTCTGTGAGTGCCTGTAAGGAAAGATTTGACTTGCAAATTACTTTTTCTCTTACTTTTTCCCAACTCTCCTAAAATCCTCTAATCCTATAGATTCCCACAATGTTCAACTTGAATTGTGTAACAGCAGCTGCAGGGGTAGTGGCTTACAGAAAAAAACTACTTCTCTGTCTTTGGTATTCCTCTGGTTTCACTGGACTTGACTGGAAGAGCTACAGTTTCTTGTTGACTTTAATTAGATTGATTAATATTTAGCATTACCGGAAATACAAACCTAATTCATAAGCTGCAGCATTTTCAAAAATGCTGGGGTTTTGCTATAACATGACCAAGCATTGCTTTTTGAATATGATGCAGTAGTAGAGATGGAAATAGCAGTCCCTTCTATCTGCAATATTCCTGAGGCCTCCCTGACATAGGAGTCATAGCTCATAGGAAAGAGTGCTGTGGCCAGCAGCACACTGAGCAGTGTCACCATCTCATGTGGGCATGATCCTGCTCCATTTGATGTTTCCAGAAGAGCCTTAAGAGGTTTTTCAGTCTATTTGGGTTTGGTGCAATTGGAATTTAATCTCTCTCTAATCTGCTCCTGCAGACTATTTTTTCCTTCTACTTCCAAGGTGAAAAAAATAATGAGAGGGTATAACGTGTGGAGAGAGTGTTAATAGCACCAGTGTTTGGTGTGTGCCCTAGACTATAGGCTCAGCACCAACACACAGAGCTTCTTCAACAGAATCAGTAGTTCTTCCTCTTGTTTTCTGTGGACACACAGTGCAGACCATTAAAGGCCTTTTTTGGATCCACTGCCAGTGTCAGCAAATCAAGGATCTCAACGAACACTGCTGAGACCCAGACTCACGGTGGTAATGCTGCAAGGGCAGTAAGTGGCAGGGGGTGACATGTCCAGGATGTGATAAGCACAAAATGACACACACAGCGTGTGCAAGGCACTTGGGTTTCACCAAGTAGCCTGCGCATGTTTGTGTGTGCCACCCAGCCCCAGAGAGGATGATGGATCTGGAAACCATCCAGTGGGTTTAGTTGCAGATCCCAGTGAAAACAAACACAACTTTGCGGACCATAAACTGGATGTATGTGAGAGATTCTGCTCCTGGAATATAACCACATAAAGAGCAGTATACTGTGTTTGCAAGACCAGACCCACGAGAACCAGACTGGGGTATCTGAGGCTCTGCAGGCTGTGAGCACCAGCCTGGCTGCATCGGGAACTGATGGCAGGCAGCAGAGGAGGACAGGCAGCGGGTGGGTGGCAGGCAGGAATCAGGGCAGGCAGCAGACAGGTTCGGCAGGGCGGGCAGCGAGGGGCAGGCAGTCTCTGCCGGGCGTCGCGGCCGCTGCACCATCCCCGCCCGGCCGCTCGTGGGGTGCGGCGCGGGCCGGGGAAGGGCCAGGCCAAGGCCCGGGGCTGTCAGTGCACGGCGCTATCCCGGGCACCGAGGCTCGGCCGCGCCGGCCCCGAGTGGCCCCTCCTCTCGCTCCGCTGCCCCTCCTGCCCCGCCCCGCGGGTGTCGCGGAGGGGCCGCGGGGCGGGCGCCCGGCGGGGCTCCGCGGGATGGGCCGTGCCGCGCTGCTCCCCCCGGCCCGGCCCCGGAGGGCGGGCGGGTGCGGGTGCGGTGCACCTGCTGGGCGGCTCGGCGCGGCGGGACTCGGCAGCGCTCGGCGGAGCCATGCCGGCTGCCAGCACACCCGGGCTGGACTCTCAGCGCACCTCCGCGCTAGGGCGGGACAGCGGTGGCCCCCGCGGACACACAGGTACGAGCGTGGTCCCACGTCGTTCCTCGCACAAGTTCCCGCCTGCGTCGCAGCGGAGGGGAGGGAGTATGCCAGCGGGAGTAGCGGCAAACCCCGACCAGGGTGCAGGATCTCTCCCGCGTAGATGCGGGCTGACCGGGGCAGGTTGCGGTATCCCTGGACAGAGGTGTTGTATGCCCCCGGGGAGGGGCGCGGCAGATCCCGCCGGGTGGTTCCGGAGCCCCCCGCCGCTGCCGTCCCGCTCCGTGCCGCCTCCGGCCGGTCCCGGCAGGCGCGGAGCGCGGAGGGGACGGTGATCCGCACCCTGAAGTTCTCGGGCACGCCTCGAGATGAGTGTCCCGGAGCCACCCCGACACGGGGGGGTCCCGGCAGGTCCCGGCGAGCCTGGAACAGCTCTCCCAGGGCTGCACTCGGGGCGCCGAGCGGGGCCAGCGCTGGAGTGCGGGTCGGGCGGAGGGCCGAGCACCGCCAGGGCTGCGCACGGCAGCCGCACTCCGGAGCCGTCCGAGCGGCTCACCCGGGGCTGCTGGGGCCCTGGGTGGTGGGGTGTGATTGCTCCCAAAGAGGAGGCGCTGCGGTTCAGTGATAGAAGTTTGGGGTTCAGTCGCTGGGATGGCCACGGGCACAGGGGGCGAGTGCGTGGGGGCAGAGGGGAGTGTCTGGCAAGGATGGAAAGTGCTGGCTCTCAGAGACATCGCTCCTGGGCGCATATCACCAGGCTGGGAAGGAAATTAAGGTATCAGTGTTTTAATGGAATATGGTAATGCATTGAGGGGTGGAATGAGAAACCAATCAAAGCTTTTTCCTTCTTATCTTTCTCTTCCCTGGAGTTTTGTTACTCAATTCGATTGCATAGACCATAACGTCCTTTCAAAACCTCTTTGGCTTAAGTGGGTTCGATAATTTGGAGATAATGCGAGGTGACAGAGGGTCTGAACTGGTGGGAGATGTCCGCTGCACAGGGCTGTGGTGTTGGTGGGTGTCTGGGCCTGGAGGGAGCTGAACCGTGGTCTGGAGCTGCTGGCCCGGGCAGCAGGAGATGCGTATTCCCAGCCACAGCCACCTCTGGAGTCCAGGACCCAGGTGAGATGGAAGGATGCTGGAGCTTGGTGCAGTTGTGGTGGCCTGCTTCTTGCTGGGGTTTCTTCCTCTTTTCTTCAGATCACACAGTAGATGGGCTTTTCTTTGGCTTCAATGCAAGCAGAGCTGAGTGCTGCTAAAATCCAGGGATCTCCTTCTCATGTGCAGCCTGTTCTCTCATGTCCTTGCGATTTATTTGGCTCGTGAAGTTCTAACAGACTTCATTAATGACCTGATTTTGTTGTGCATATAGAAACTGGCAAATGTATTTGGGCTACTAGCATAGCAATGCTTTAAATTGTATCCTCTGAATGTGCTTGACTGTTTAATTTGAGTTTAATATATCAGTTAATTTGAAAATGCAAAACAAGTTCTGGGAAATGTGCTTAGAGAATTAATTCAAACACAAGGGTAGACTCTGTTGCTCTAGCCTGATAGTGTTGCTAATTACTGACTTTTCTCTTTTTTAAAATAATGTATATTTGGTTGTTTTTATGTGATGTGTCAGAGTCTTGTGGGGCTGGGTTTGCCCACACTATAAGGAGTTTTGGAAGTGGCATGTCCTGTGTTACACTCAGCCTTTCTGATTCTGTGTAGGTTAATCTTGCTCTGTGTAGGTCTGTGGCAAAACATCTAGAAAAGCAAATCTGCCAAAAACTATTTGGTGTTCAAGTTAGAAATCCACCCTCAGTTAATCCCTTGGATATCTATAGACCTGGTTCCTTTCAACCATGTGTCCAGCCAGAACCACAAAGACCATTTTTTTTCCAAGCCAACTACACCAAAACTGTGGCACAGGAGTTCTCAGTAAGGTGCTAATCTGGAATATGCTGGATCAGGGCTTGGCTGTGCTGCATTGGCTGTAGGATCATCAGCCATGCTTGAGCCACGCAGCTTTGCCAGACCTTAGCCAGATACAGCCTCTTCATGCTCTTCACCCTCTTCACCCTCTCTTCTGCTTCATGGGGCTTTTCCATGGTGCAATTCCACCTTCGCAAAAACCCATTTGGAACTATTGAGTCAGGTGGATGTACTGCTGGCAACCCTAAGCAGTTTAGACAGCTAAAATGATAGCTACTTGTATGATTTTAAATTAAACTCTTGTTCATCTAAATGTGACCATGTTATTTATACATTAGGATTTGCTGCCAATTGTTGCACGGTATTTGTACAGTATTGCATCATGTCCTTATTGGTGATCCTTTTTGATGCTGAGTACCCCCTTACATTATTTCAGATCATGAGCAATAAGGTGATAATGAAGGTTTGCACAGATAAACTCCCTCACATGTTCCTTTTGAGAGGATGAAAAATATGTGGCAGGATTTCCATTTGAATAAACGCATGAATGAGAGAGAAATTAAAGGAAGTTCCTTAGTACAGCCCTGATGCCTGTAGTATTTAGAGGTCTTAGAGCTTCCTGAGAACAGCTGTGAGATTCAAACACCCTGCACTTTTCCTGGTCTTGCCTTCTTTTGAAGGACTGACAGGAGCAGGGAGAATGATCCCACCCTCTGACTGGGGAGGGTCAGCAATGTGCTTCCCTGAGGAGCTGTGGGAGCCTGGCTTACCCTGAGGGAAGGTCAGTAAATGTGTAGGGCAGGAGCACGGGGCAGGGGAAGAGTACAACAGATGTCTGGAGCTGGGAAGAAGCCTTCTGTCCTGTGGCTGTTACAGTGTCACTGCCGTGCTGCGGTAGTGCTCCGTGGACACGGTAAATTCTCTGGAAACGCCTCTGAGACCCTGAAAGTCTTGTGCCAGGTGACCTGAGCACTCCCCTGCCCTGTGGGAATCGCCACGGAGCAGGGTGCTGTTGTCAGCCCATGCCACTGAGGTCCTGCTGCCTCTGAAGCTGCCCAGAATATACTGGGATCTTTTGGGTGGAACAGGAAAAAAGAGAGAGGAGCACAAAGGCATATCATTATTTTTAGTCCTTATGTTGCTGAAGTCGGAGGCTCTGGCCCTCTAGTTATCCAAGGTTATCCTTTTTTTTTGCTGTGATTCCTCTTATTCCTTAATACCATCCTGTAGCTCTTTCAGACCAGGTAGCACATACTTCTGCCAACATAGAGGTGGATTGACAAACACATCAGTGCAGCCACAGACAGAGGGACAATAAGTGCAGGATCTGGCAGAAACACTCATCATGACTGGTTTTAAATTAGTAAAAATTTACACAACAGCCCAGGTCTCACTGCTGGGCTGTTGTCTGTAGTTGTGGTTCTGCTTTCCTCCACTTTCCAGACCAGGGAAGGGGAGAGGTTTCATGAGGTGGGAAATGCTGCAGGCTGCAGTGAATGCTCTATTCAGACCTAGCTGCGGAAGGAATTATCTAGCAGACACCACTGAAAGAAAGGGATGGGGTCTCTTGCTTAGAACAGATAGAAGTTGCAGTTTGCTGGAGGATAGGGGCGTGACAGCCTGTATTGGCTCAGTTGTAGCCTGGATGTTATGGCCGTGGTGGGATGCCAGTACCAGGGTGGATGTACCTATGATGTGACTTAAGCTGTCTGTTCTTTTGTTGTGATCCCTTTTGGAGATTTCCCCTAATTTGTCCTAAACCAGGACAGTGAGCAACTTAATTTTTTTCTGAAGTGAGTTTCCTTGGCAGTGCAGAAACTGAAGTTATGTTACTAAGAACTTACAGTTGCTCTTCCAGGACAGCAAAACCAAAGTTGTTCTTCAAAGCCAGGAGTGCTGCTGCTCTGCAGTACAGATGCATAGAATTTTATCACCTTGTCCCTGTGATCCTCAGATGTGGTTCTGTTTTTAGGCTGCAGAAGAAAACATGGATCCCAATTTCCATTTCCACAGGGCAGAAGGTGATACAACTTGGAATATATGGGTTTGTAATTAATTTCCCCAGGGTTATTTCTCCTTTCTTGTTCTCCCATGAGCTCAAAGTCAAACTTTGTATGAAGTAACGTAAAAGAAGTGACAGTTGCAGAATGTCAGCTAATTGGCTTTATCTCCTGTAGTGCAAGGAGCTAATCTGGGTGGTTAGGCATTTGCACCAGGCATTGATACTGCTTTGAGGGAAGGATTTTTGTGCTTGTCATTTAAGCATTAGTACAGTACAAAATGGAAAGAGAAGAGAGCTTTTGGGTTTTCTGAGTCCTGCACAGTGCAAGATTGTTCCCTGTGGTATTCTCCAATGCTTCGTCCTAGCTACTCTAAAATTACCTAGGCTAGAGAGACAGACTGTTAGTAGACTTCTGAATTTCAGCTAATGAATGAGGTGAGCTGAATGCTTTGGATCCAAAATAGTGAAATTTGAAAAATCACAAGTCAGTCTTAAAACAAAGAAGCACCCCAATGCTAGTGGTTAGCCACTCTCGTTTGGTTGTCAGATGACAGAGAGAAATGCAGAAGTTGCAGTTTGAGCAACTGCTCCCCAAAATAAATCAATTCCTGTGTCTGCTGAGGGTCTCAGGGATGGGGTTGAGCTGGTGCCTGGATTACAAATGAGCCTTTGCAGCAGAGCAGAGGCCCTGTGGCCCAGCAGCATCTTTAGGGCGGTCAGTAGCTGCTTGGGGGGACAGCAGTCACAGCTACCTCAGCCCACACAGGAGTGGTGGTGGCTGGTAGAAGCAGTGTTGGGGAAAGGGATGGGTTAACTGCTTGCCTTTCTTCCAATAGACCTGGGAGAGATTATTCCATTGTTATTTCTGAGACTAAATAAAGCCAGTCACAATGCTGCTCATGTATTCCAGACTCCTAAGGAGAGTAGCTTTGATTGGGAATGAATTTGAGGAGAGGTCAAAATGGGGACAGAAGTTGATTAGGGTGAAGGGGTGGTGTACAAAATTCTCTGAGTGCATGTGTGTGCTGGGAACAGCATGTTGGGGGGATGATTTGGCCTGTGGGAGCTCAGAGAGGTGCAAAGGGCACGTTTTGGGGTTTGGTTTTTCCTGTTCAGA